GGAGTCAAGTTGACCCCAATGCTCCTCCGTGGGAGAAAGCGGGTCTTAGTGAGGACATGTGGAGAGACCGGTTACACCCGGCAAGCTTGCATTCGTTATGGCCAATATGGCCATAACCAATTCAAGTGCTATAACAAAAAGGTGACCGAGAAGATGCCGCCTATGATGGGGCAAGCGTTGGGATCCTCCGCTCCCGTTGGAAGCAATGTGGCCAGCAGTTCTGGCACTGCTCCGGGAAACGCGTTGGGCCAGTAGGAATGGTAGTTGTTCTTACTAGTGTCGAGATGCTGGACACACCCTCACCATCTCAAGAGATGGCCCAAGCTACAGACTTCATCGTCGTCCCACAAACACATTCTGACCCATCGAGCCTCTGTTCGATGAATGTGCTTGAATACTTAGAGGAGTTGGAGGAGGAGTGGTCTAGATCAGACCCACTAGCTTCTTGGACGACATTGGTCAAAGCCTCTAAGGGAGAGATGTTCGTCGGCGAGGTAGTCATAGGCGGCCTCAAAGTCGGGGCCTATTATGACACTTGCTCGACTAGGAACTCCATCAGTCGCGAGTGCGTTGAGAGGCTGCGCTTACAGGGGCGAGTGCAGCGCCTGAGTCGACCTGTAGAGTCGACCTGTGCCAACAAACAAGGCATGGTAGTCAACGACTACCTCCAGGATGTTGAGTGTCGTTTCCCGTACGCGGGAGGGGAATTGAGACATCGCATCTCCTTCCTAGTGAGCGATGATCTCCCCATGGATATCTTGTTAGGTATGTACTACCTCTCCGTAGCATAGCCCCAATTTGACTGGGACTGAAAAGTGGTTAAACACACTTTGCCACGTGGCGCCAAATTACGTAAGTTTAAAGCTAGTAGTCTGATCGAGTCCCACAGATGCATGTGTGCGGCCGCGTTCTATAACTATTATAAGCAAAATCAAGAGGAGGGTATGTATCTAGTTTATGTCTCTGCAGCAGGCGAGCCGGTCAAAATGTCGCCGGAGATAAGAGGGAGTAGTTGCCAAGTACCCTGATCTATTTGAAGAGCCTACAGGGGTTGTTGAGAGGGAGGTCGTCCACGAGATAGAGATTATCCCAGGGTCTAGCATCCCGAAGGGTAGGATCTATCGGATGTGTCCAGGCGAGCTTGATGAGCTTCACCGACAACTCAAGGAACTCGTAGAGAAGGGTTGGATCCGCCCGAGTGTTTCTCCTTATGGATCTCCAATCCTATTCGTATCGAAGAAGGAAGGAACACTGAGGATGTGCATTGACTATAGGGGCCTCAATGCCATCACTGTCAAGAACAGAGAGCCCCTACCGTGCATCGACGACTCGCTAGATAGAGTGCAAGGCTGCCAGTACTTCAGTGAGATAGATCTCAAGTCCGGGTACCATCAGATTGCAATCCGGCCCGAGGATCAACGCAAAACCGCATTTCAGGCCAGGTACGGTCTGTTCGAGTTTGTGGTGATGCCTTTCGGCCTTTGCAATGCTCCTGGCACCTTTCAGCACGCTATGAATCGGATATTTCATGACTACTTGGATAAGTTTGTCATCGTATACCTCGATGACATACTTATTTTTAGTAGGACTGTCGAGGAGCATGTAGCGCACTTAGACAAAGTCCTCAGTCTCCTTCGGCAGCACAAGTTCAAGATAAACGGGGAGAACTGTGAGTTTGGCCGCACCCGTATCTTGTACTTGGGTCATGAGATTTCCGCGAAGGGTTTGAAGCCCGATGACGTGAAGGTGGCCAACATTCGTGACTGGCCGCGTCCTCAGTCTGTGACTGAGATGAGGTCCTTAGGGATGACAGGCTACTACCGCAATTTTATTCAAAATTACAGCGTAGTGGACGCCCCTTTGACGAACCTGACTCGCCTTGAGACGTCGTGGGAGTGGACAGACAGGTGTGAGGCAGCTTTCAGACATCTGAAGTATGCGTTGACACACCATGAGGTCTTGAAACTTCCTGATCCTGGCAAACCTTTTGCAGTAACTACGGATGCCAGCCAATATGGCATAGGCGCCGTACTTGCACAGCAGGAGGGGAAGAAGTACATGTCCAAAAAGATGCCCTCTCAAAAGTTGCTAAGTCCACCTATGAGAAGGAACTCTATGCGATCTACAAGGCGCTCACCCATTGGAGGCACTATCTCCTTGGGAGGTTCTTCTACGTCAACACTGATCACCAGACCCTGAAGTGGATGAGAACCCAGCCTGTGCTCTTCGACGCTCTGAAGCGTTGGATTGAAGTCATAGAACAGTATGACTTTGAGCCCCAGTACATAAAGGGCGAGTACAACAAGGTTGCTGATGAGCTGTCGCGTAGACCAGATTTCTCTGGTGCGCTGATCACTGAGTTTGGGCTTGCGGACGATGTTACTCGCTCTATGGTGGAAGCCTATCGCGAGGACCGGTTTATGTCTGAGATCATACGGAGGCTCGAGGCGAAGGACAAGGTGACTTCTGCCGAGTTTGAGTAGGTCAACGGACTGCTGTTCCTTGAGAAGGCAGGGAATAAACGTCTGTGTGTGTCAAATGGGGAGTCTCTGCGTAGTTTATTTTTAGGCGAGTGTCATGATGCCACCGGACATTTTGGCTTCAAGAAGACTGCAGCCAATCTGCTGCAGCGGTTCTGGTGGCCCACGATGATGAGAGATGCCAAGCTGTATGTGGAGACTTGTCAGGTCTCTCAGAGAGAAGCCCCGTACGCAGGCCCTTGGGCTCCTCCAGATAGGATATCAACATTGGTTCTTCGTTGATGATGATGAGACTATTCCATCATTGTCAATTATGAGCTTTTGGTGTGCTCTTAGTTGGTGAAACTCGTGATGCAATTCTGCTTTTGGTTCGAGGTCACGACTATCTGGTCTCATGTGTATGATGTTGTTTGATTGCTGAAGTTCGTTTTTTCTCATCTTCCTTGCACCAGCATTACCTCCTACGAAATGTTGCCGCCATCAACTGGGAAACAGAAAGGGCATTAACATCGACAAATTTGTGAGTGCTTGTGTGTCCGTGTGTGTTGTAGGTTTCACCACAACAGCACCTGTTTCACCCAGACGAGTAGATCCAAAATTGATGCAGCTTTACCTCTATTGCAAACAATGAAGCACACTTGAGATGAGGCATTCCAGCAATCAAACAGTTTTGTTATGAACCTGGTTGTTTGTTGTCACATGACCAACACTCGCTCACATAGACTTCCAGGTATGCCCATACATACACAGAAGGAAGGGGAAAGGATGGGAGAATCACACCACACACACACACACACACAAAGAGAGAGAGAGAGAGAGAGAGAGAGAGAGAGAGAGAGAGAGAGAGAGAGAGAGAGAGAGAGAGAGAGAGAGAGAGAGAGAGTGGAAGACTTGACCATGCGATATGACAGAGAACACTGAAAGTGCACTTCGCTCCACAGAATCCTCACAACCAGTCACAAAGGAAAGCCGAGTAGATCACATCCAGGAAACAATGAAACAATGGTAGTACACACACACTATCCACACTGTTTATTAAACTCAGAGTCTCAAAATGTCAGAATAACCCCAGTACCATGGTGCGCTGCTCAGAAATGAGCAGCGCTTCACTCCCCAACCTCGAGTAACCGCTATTACTACCCCCGAGTCCCTGAAACATCAAGCGCCACCCAGATACAGCCTCCAGAGGGAAGCGTCTCTGAGGCCAAGCGCCACTCAGAGGATGAAGAAGAAGACCAGCGCCACAGTGCCTGATGATGATGAAGTGCTAGATGACTTCCCGGGTGGAAGTCTGCAGCAGCGCCACCACTCCTGACAAAGATGATCTCTGAGGAAGACAAGCTGCAGCTATGGCTGCAGCGGCACACACTCTGACACCCTACTGATTCAGCAGGGCCCCAGCTTCTCTCACCTTCAGCAGAGTTCAAGTAGCCCAGACCTCTGGACAGCCCTTCGTGCTGTCAGAGTACAGTGCCGGTCCCAGCTCTGGCCGACACTCCGCAGGTCTGGCTATGTCCACCTCCTCCAATGCTGAAGCTATCTACACGTCCAGTTCACGCGTTGCACAGCAGCAACGTACACGGTACCAACTGCCAAAAGCCCCGAACCAATGTCCTCATCCTATCTATAACCTACACTAGCCTAGACACGACCTAGACCGGACTGACTGGACCAACCGGTACCGTTTCAGTTTCGGCCCCTAGGGCCTCTCCCTACCCGGCTATAGGCTATAGGACCGTCTATCAGCTTAGGCCCGTAGGGCCTGTCTGTCCTAGGGGTATCCCGGGCCTGCTATTCGCAGTTAGGGTAGCTGTATGTAATTTTAGTTAGTACGGGCCTGTGTTTTCCCGATTTTGCAGATATGTCCCTCAAGAATTTTCCCTACAGGTAGGTCTCTCGGTTAGCCCTCAGCCAAACAAAATTACAAATTTATCCTACTTATAGTAAAGCCTCGACAAGAGAGGCTACAGGCAATAGATCCGTTATATCCCTTTCTTGACTTTCTTTCCTTTGCCTTTCTTTGGGGTACCCCTTCTGTTTTCTCTTGCAGCTCCCTTTTTACGGTGCCTCTCACGTACAAGGCTGGTCACGTTGATTGTGGTTGAGCACCAGCTGCCCACATCCCCGTGTGCCTTAACGGCAGAGTAAGGGGGGGAGGTATGCTCCTGTTCATTTTTCTTCAGATCGTCAGCTTATATTGTGTCTGCTCTCTTGATGATGCTCATTCGTATGCATTTATGAGAGAGAGAGACCAACAAACAGAGAGAGAAGAGTGAGAGAGCGCTTGCAAGCGTGAAGAGAGAGAGACACAGACAGAGAGAGGATCGAATGTGCCACCTCCTTAAGTGAGATAAAAGAAACACAGACTTACGTTACACACATGCGCACATCACGAAAGAAAGCAGGTTGCTGAGAAAGACAGCAACCAAATGAATAGAACAACTGATCACACATTTGGCACCTCTATTCAGCAGAAACATCCTTTACATCCGCACTTCTCTGCTCTAAGGCACTGCTTACATTTACTGCTCTTCTATGATTCGCGACGACTTGCTGCTGTTGCTCTTGCTGCTGCCGTAGCTCCTCAATTTGCTTCTCCTTCTCCAAAAGGAGAGGAAGTTGCCCTCCTTCCAGCTCTCTTCTTTGTTGCTCTGCCTCAATCTTTACCCTTTGCAATGCCTCCATGGCATCTCTTGCAGTCCTTTCAGACCGTTCCCTCTCCAGCTCAGCACGAATAAGGTCCTCAGTTAATCTACGTCTATCTTCCTCATAACCATTCTTGCTTTCCTGCATGCAGCACGAGATCACGACCAAAAAGAAAACATATGGATGCATGACTCCTGATCCGTGTAAAGCAACATCATGTGTAAATTCGTCACCCAGTGTGCTCGACACAACATAAGAGTTCAACCAAGCCAAATCCACAGCCTTTTTAATCACTGCTGATCACAAGTTGCGTTCTACCGTTTTCACCCGAATAGAACGCCTGGTCATTATAACTGCATCTCGACTGAAAGTTGCACGAAATACAGCTGTAATGACCGGGCATTCTATTCAGGTCAAGACCGTAGCAATAGATTTCCTGCAGCAAACTGCAGAGGTACTTTCACAACCAGTTCCTTCTCCCTTTGCCGTGGAACAAACCCAGAATAATATAAATTGGAAGCCTTATTCACAGGTCTACAGAGAATGGCACACACTCCACTCAAATGCATAAAACTAATAAAACAGATGCCGCTTGAAGCTAATTCAAAAATTTTATGCCACATCAGTTCATGTTGAGGAATGCCAGTTATCTGAGGACGAAAACGCTTACCTTGGACTCTTCCGTGGCCCCAAGAGCAAGAGCTTCCAGAATCCGGTTCTCTGCCGCATGCTCATCTTCTCGTTTCATCATGGTCATAATCTCCCTCATCTGCCCAGCATAAACAACAGAGAGGACATACCCAACGACCAGCGACACATTACCCGTGTCATTCCAATAACACAAATGCACATACAGAAAGCAACCGCAGTGCTTCAGCTTCCAGGGACTGATCAGTATAACCAAAGAGAAGCAGCTGGTGAAAGAAAACACACATCAGTTCATCACAAGAGTTCATCTTCGAGTGCATCCAGTTGCAAACCAAAATCTGCAAGGTACAAACAGGGCATGATCATGACAGGACCGTTCGGCATTATTTACTCGAATGAAGGAATCAAACAAATTGCAGCACATGTGTTGACCATATACCTCCGCATCATTTGGGAAGAGAGGGCGACTGAAGTACTTCTCTGCATGACTGGCTGAGCGCACATTCCACAGGTTCCGAAGCACTTGTCCAATTGCAGGCAGCATGCAGGAGGGAGATTCATCATTCAGCAAAGGTCACCCCATGGCATGGCAAAATACAGGCAGAGTATTGCTGTGGTTCGGAACCTGTGATGCGAGAATGAAGCAAGGACCTACTTTCGCAATGTGTTCATCCTTCATAAGCAGACGCCTATCAAACTCCTGTAGCATTGTCGTCATCATGAGCTCCACGCGCTGCAGAAGACGTCAAATGCAGCAGGATTTGCAACATGAATACATGCATGCATCCACACACAGGCCAATGCCCTAGCTGATCTAGCTCAAATACTACAGAAGCTGCAACGTATCCTGTGTGTTGGCTATACCCAAAATAAAAACAAAAATGCAAAAACCAAGCCAACATAAACGAACAGCAACATCCGCGAAATATGTCAAATTCTCTGCATCAAAATCAGCAACAAAACAATATGGCATCATCAACGATAAAACACATTTCCTGATCACAAAAACATACACCTTGTTCGACATCAATACGACCTCCAAAAGAAATGACAAAGACACAAGCACATAAGTGATGCACAACAGTGCAAGTCATAAAGTGGGAAGACCACTTGCACGAGCGGAAGGAAGTCAGCAGTTTGCACAGCTACGCGTCTGATGGCAACCACAAGCACAAGAAGAAAAATGGATCCTCGAAGAGAACCAACGTTTCCCAGACGCAAAACCAGAGCAAACCCACATCAAGATGCACAGCACACTTCCAAGATCGATAAAAGAAAGGGGGTTCCCTGATTGCTAAATACAAAAACGGATTCAATATTTAAATGAGCTGCAAGGAAAGAGAAGAAACCCCAATAACCATACCTGTAAATCATTGAATAGAAAACCCAGCTTTACAAGCAGAAAGAGGTTGGAAGCAAAGAGGAGGCCACAAAAGAACGTAGATGAGATCGTAACAGGGGAACTCACTAGCAGCAAAAAGTGAAAGAACACTTCCCAATGCAACCGACAAGAAAAAACAAATATAAAGAAAGGTGGGTAAGCTTCAAAGCACATGACACTAGAAAGGAGAAGGGGCTGAACATCCACAGCATCTTCCAAACATCACGCATAATCAATAGCTCGAAGTCAACCATCAACACCACTATCAAATCACATATCAAAAAAATGAAGCATCAGAAAAAGGTTCAAAAAGCACAATACTCAGCATCCAACAAGCAATCAATCCCAGCATCAAACACCTCCAAGATCAACTGTCAGAATCTCAAGGAGCAAATCACTCTCTCGAAGTCCTACACTTAATCTTCAGAATGAGCATCAAACCTTGATATGGCTGAACACCACTGCACATTGGCACCAGCTTCCACATCCAGTATCATCCATTAACATCAACATCAAACATCAAACATCGCTGGATCTTCATCAATTTTTTATCAGATCAACACCAACACCATCTTTGAGGTCAACTTTATGCACAAGGGCCTAAACTGGACTCGCGAAAGCAAAACCAAAAAGTAACACCAACACCATCTTCAGGGTCAACTTTACCAATTCCAAAACTATGAAAGCAAACTCTGTGACAGAAAATCACAGCAGTGACTTCTCCAATTCAATTACTGCAGCAATCCACAATATAATTAACTTCTACAGTCTTTCTGTCACCTGCCTCATCAACCTCTATACAACATTGACACTGCCTATTTCAACATTCAGCACCAGATTCAAAAACATCTGACACGTACATCTATGCAACGTCACCTTCCAAGTTATAACCACAGGGGCATACATCTATACATCTATGCTGACCTCCCAGCTACTTCTGACGCCTACTTCTGACGCCAGCTTCTGCACTGACTTGAATGCCTTATTCTATGGAAACTTCTCTGCCAGCTCCTACAGCAAATTCAATACCTAACTGTGTTAACCTCTATCAGCCCATGAATGCTCACGCCCGCTGACACAGCAGATGGAACCTTCACTATTGTCAAAATGAAAGAATAATTGTACCTACATAGGGGCATTGAAGTTAGCCACTTGGACGCAGCTAAAACTTAGAGACTTGTCACATGCAGAGGTCAAGCTTAAACCTTCTATTAGATCTATCAGCTCAACAGAGAGTCAGAGGCAAAGCTGCAACAGCAAGAAGAAAGCCCGCTCTCAATCTCACTCCTCAAATTGCTCGCGGAGCCAACCAGCAAACCCAAATGCTTAAGAGTTGAAACTGCTTCATTAGTCAGCAATTGAGGTCAAACAAGAGCTTTCCTGGAGATGTGTGAGAAGGTGGTGGACTAATAGACTGGAGGGCATTCAATTGCCAGCAATGCAGAACCTGTTAAATACTTCCAATTGGCAACAGTGGACGGGCGAGGTCAGACTTATCAGGGATCACTGGTGCAACTGAGACTCGAGGACCACAAAGAGCCCACCATCGATGGCCAAATTATGTTCATCATTATGTGGGCATGCCATCAATCTCCCCAAGTCAAGCAGCGGTCACCTCCTCAGAACCTTCCTGAGGACCTCTTCATGAGTCATAATCAGCCAGCCACCGACCACCAAGCAACTGCACTGGAGAGAACTTCCCACAGTCACCGAAGAATTGCACTGGAGGCGGCTGCCAGGAGCCGCCATAGCCCTGCAGAAGAGGCAACTGCATGCATGGACGCGGAAGCCTTGCAATGGGACGAGCTATTAACTCGTGTGCGAAGCTGCTGAAAGACTGATTTCTTCTTGGAGGAGCACAACCAAGTAGTTCCTCACAGTTTCATTAAGACTTGACAATGTGAAGTCAATGACACCTAGCCTTAATAGCACTCCGCTGGAGATCTTACCTTCACTGTAGAGGGGGTGGAACGGGTGGGTTGGTGGGAAAAGAGGGAGGGTGGGGAAGGAGTCCGTTCAACTTATTAGTCCTGGTGAGTTTCTTGTATCAGCTGCAGACTGTCCTTCCTATGTCACAATGGCCACAAGGTTTAGTCACATCGACCAGTCCTGTTCGTGAAGAGGTCAGACTTGTCAGGGATAACTGGTGCAACTGAGACTCGAGGACCACAAAGAGCCCGCCATCGATGGCCAAATTATGTTCATCATTATTTGGGCATGCCATCAATCTCCCCAAGTCAAGCAGCGGTCACTTCCTCAGAGCCTTCCTGTGGACATCTTCATGAGTCATAATCAGCCAGCCACAGGCCACCAAGAGGGAGGGTGGGTCAAGCAGCGGTCACTTCCTCAGAGCCTTCCTGTGGACATCTTCAAGAGTCATAATCAGCCAGTCACCGGCCACCAAGAGGGAGGGTGGGGAAGCAGTCCGTTTGACTTATTAGTCCTGCTGAGCTGCTTGTATCACCTCAGGCTCCGAAAGTGCTGAGTTTACTACTATCAGCTGCAGACTGTCCTTCCTATGTCACAATGGCCACAAGGTTTAGTCACATCAGCCAGTCCCACTTGGAAAAAGATGCTGCTGCACATCATATATTTCAACCACGAGGTACAGCAACCTTCCCTCAAAGACCACCAGAACTTGAGAAATGGAGTACACGATGAACTTCAGATGTCCCTGTGTTATTCCATCTCTCAAGGGAATCAAACTGTTACCAAGATAAAGAGATTAGGGGAGAACCAAGGCGCTACCAAGGTTAGAGGCACCTGTCCCATGGTACATGCAAAACAGTAAGAGAGGAGAACTGAAAGGCTTTGGTACCATGCCCTACTTTTGTACCGTAGGGCTGCGGTAGAAGTTTCTGGTGGGTACAGTACAGGCAAAAATAGAGATCCAATAGGATAACTCTGGTAGGAACAGTGGTAGTCAGTACATATGGAGTCACCAAGTGTCCGGTCCCGGTCAAGTTGCAGTTCAGTCCCAGGAAGGGCCCTACAACAGGCCCAAACTTTGTTGACCCAGCAGGGCCTGACACAGAGGGCCAGAGTCACGTGGGAGGCATTGCCACATGCACAAGAGGGTGGCCATGCAGAAGCGCTGCGGCCGTTATTGCGCACCAAGATCTCGGACCTGTGAGCAGTGTCTGGCGAGGAAGTAGTCGAGGGGGCTGGGTGTAACCACAGTACAGCACAGTACATAGAGGAAGGCACTCACAGAGAGATTGCAGGACCTGTGCACAGGAGAGAGAGAGAGAGAGAGAGAGAGAGAGAGAGAGA